CTCATTCAGGGATCAGGTCAACAGATCTTGGGCATCTGTAAAGGCAGTGGGGCTGCTGCCGAGATGCTCTGTTGGGGCTCTTGTTCTCACTCCAGTCTTCACCTCATAAATACTTGCACGTGTAGTCTATAGTACAGAGTTTGTTAGAACTGTTCAAGTCTTTAGCAAGAGTGGTGGGGGTTAAGTGCACTTCTAAGCTCCTGCTACTGCAGTTAGAGTGCGGATGCTATCCCAAGGTGAGGTGAGAGATGTGCAAAGTCAATTTGCAGGATTGGAATCTGATTGATTTAAGAGCAGGCCAACACCTAAGTGTGCCTACATGAGAGCTACATTCACTTAGAGCTGTTATCCAAGGTGGTTTGGGTCACCCGGGTTTTAATGTGATAGCCACGGAGCGCTCAGGCAGGGGAGGGGTTTGGCTGTTGCTCTGTTGCTATTGTAAAGCTCTGAAGGGTAAAGTTGTTGTTAGCTTGAGATGTGACAGGGGTATTATATCCTGATTTTTAGGGAGGGTTTTTTCCCTTATTTCAAGCTTGATTTTAATATTGTATCTTATTTATATCTTGGTTGAGGTTATTGTCCTTATTTTTATCTTGGAAACACCATTTACTTTGTTTTTAACCCAAAACCAACAGGGCGAGATGCTTCAGTTGCTTGGTTTAATGTGTGCACGTCACCCAGTTTGTCACTGGTTCTGCACAGGTATTTAGTGTAAGGGGTACAGAAACACATTTAATGTGGGATGGGGTTGAATTTAGATTGGAATGAAAGAAAAGAAATGCTTCTTGTGGGATACTTCATCTTTCTAACTTAGCAAGCAGTTAATGTGACCAACCACAGGTGATTATAGTTGGATGAGATGAATCCCCAGACTTAATCGTGGTGATGGGCACTCCATGTGCTGTGGTGGAGCCCATGTGCACAAATCTACTTCCAGAGCTCAAGGTTTCAGCAGAGCAGTCCCATCCCTCCCAGCTGCTGTAGGTTGCACCGAGCTTGTTCTTGCTGCAGGATAGGAATGTGTTTGCAAAGCAGGGAGATCACGCTCAATCTGGAGAATGCATCAGACTGTGTTTTTAAACCATAATTTGTTTTATCTTCACTACTGTGAAAATATTGTTGATGACAGGCTTTGAAGGCAGAATTAGATGGTAATACTACCAGCTGGTGCATAAAGCAGGGCTGACTTGCACACAGCAATTTGAGTGGTGGATTTGGTTTCAGCAAATTGAAATGTGATTTTTAAAGACCAGAATCCTAAAGTGACCAGCCAACAATCTGAGTTAGATGTGGCCTAATGGTTCTGTTTCATCTCCAGCTACTGCTTCTACATGAGAATTAGCACAGTAATTGGATTCTTATCCTTAGATGTAACAGATGAGGGAGGGACTTAGGGGTTTAACTAAAATCCTTTAAACTTTGCAGTTCTGTTCAGTTCTCCTTATTAAAATTGCCTGACAGACGTTATTGTCCTTCTCCCCCCCAAGCCTAGAGCCAGAGGGCACGGATGTTCTTCTAGGGCCAGAAGTCACGTGCGGGCCCTCAGAGGTGGCTGTCAGCACCCCCTTTGCCCTGACCATACCGCACTGCGCACAGGTCAATTCGGAGCACTGGAACATTCACCTGAAGAAACGCACACAGCAAGGAAAATGGGAGGTAAGTTCAGACCTCCCTCACTCTTAAAAGGTGCTAATGGTGGACGCAGGGTCGCTCCTACAGGCACAGGTTATGTGACAGAAACAGACAACTTAAAAAAGAGGGAGATTTTGCATATTGTTAAGCAGCAGCTAAACTGGTTTCAGCCATTGCACTCAGATGTGCAGAACACTTAATGGGCTATCCCGTATGACAGGAGACAGTCTGGTTTCTCAGATCGCTTAATAGTGGAGCCAGTCAACCAGTCTATTGTTTTGATAGATCACAGCTCCCACAGAGCCCCATGACACAACAGATCATTATATCCAGGAATTTATCATGACATAAAGTTATGGAACTGGTTAAAAATACACACTTCGTATACATCTCATTTCTTTTTAACCTAGAAGGTTAAAAATCTCGTCTCTCTACATGTCATTTTAATGGGCATTCAGTGACCACGCTGTGCTCACAACCTTTGAAGGATTAGTGTACATGCAATGAAATATTTTGCTTTTTTAGTTGAACATGTATTTTCTAGTCCGGATTTACTGGGAAATTAAGCTTTGGGCATTTGTGACATGGGCATCTGATCATTTGGGTCTGTCCACCTGCATACTTTGAAACTGCGTGCTGAGCAGCAGTCTCCATCACTGCTGCATCCTCCTGCATCATTTGCAAGGGCAGCCTACTAATAATATTCCTGAAGGGACAGCTAAAGCATGAAACAGACTGTTGTTCACCATTACAAAAATCCACACAGGACAGAAAGGTGCTGAATTTCCCAGCTATGAAGTGTTCACTGTACACAGTGGAACCCCAGAACTCAGTAATGAGACACAAATCCATAGTTGATCAGATTTTAGTGCACTGCTGCTGATGGACCTGCCTGGTTCTTTGCAGTGTAAGGGGGAAAACAGTAGTTAACACAGTCCCAGGTACCATAACTCACTTCAGAGAAGGAAGAGGATAAAGCACTATGATGTTTGCTGCTCCCATTTAAACCACTGCAAGTTCAGCTTAGGTTTCCTACTTTAAATGCATTCAGTACTTAGTCAGCTCCATTGTGTTGGTTACAAACACCCTGGAATGAATAAGGAGCAGAACACCAGGCTGCAAACCACGCAAAAGCTCATCTAATGATGTCGTAATGCAGAATCAAGAGTAGTTTTTAGATACAAATAACATAACTGTAATGCATGCTCTGAAAGGAAGTCAAATACCAAGTAAATACCAAATACCAGTAAGCAAACCAAATTCAAGGTTTGCTTATTGACATTAGGGGAAAAATTAGCAAGTCAAGAGCACTTGAAAAAAGATGCTAAAATTGCTTACACATCATCATTATTATTAGCTGCTGTACACACTGAGTTCTGCACAGAGCATTGCCATAAATCCTAATGCTGACTCAGGGCTAAGCTGGGAGTATTTACTCACCTTCTCCCTTTCCCTGAGGTTAACACGAGTAGAGAGTTTGCAGACTGGCCCTCAGAAATGCTTTATGTTCTAGTTGAGTGAAACTAAATAATGTTGTGACTCCTGTTGTCAAGGCCTATTGGTTTTATTATTATACTTTATTTTTAAACCTGAATTTCATTTTGCAGGAAGTGATGTCTGTGGAAGAGGAAACTACTTCTTGCTACTGCCTGTTGGATCCTTATGCCTGTCACATTCTCTTAAACAGCTTTGGAACTTATGCTCTTATTGGAGAACCGATCTCTGACTGTGCCGTTCGACAGCTGAAAGTCGCCGTTTTTGGCTGCCTGTCTTGCAATTCTCTGGATTACAATCTGAGAGTGTATTGCATGGATAACACACCTTGTGCGTTTCAGGTAAACGGTTTCCCTTTACTAACTTGCTTTTATTTGTCTTCCATAGAGTATTAACATTCCTTGATTCCTGGGGACAGTCCCTGGGCTCAAACGGATGGGAATACTGTACTTTTTTATGCCACTGCTGCATGATTTGGAGTAAGTCCCTTAATTTCTCTGCACTGTTGTCTGACTTGTGGATTTATGCTGCAAGAGCTGCAGGACAGCCACAGTCCTTTCATTGTTGGGCAGGTAGAGGGAACCCCACTTTGTCCCCATTCCAGAGTAACCAGAAGCCACGTAGCCATGGGTCACACAGCACAAAGCTACAGCTGATAAGCAGAGGGTTAGGTTGGGCTCAGTGCCTTGGCTCTGTGTGGCCCAGGCAGAGCTGACTTGCATCTGAAGCTGAGTGCTCCTGCACTACACGAAGACATTGTAAGTCTTTACCACATCCTGTATAGTATTTATCACCTTTACACTCTCATTAGTCAGTACAGGATTTCCTCTCCTGTTTAAAATTTGAGCAAGAAGAAAGAGATTCCCCCCCATCTTTTAAACAAAAATTCAATTACAATTGTGTGTTTCCCCTTTAAAAAAAAGCCCAAAACACAACACAAAACCCCACAAAACAATCCCCGAGTGGCAATGAAAACTAACAAGATATTTCTGCCTGGTGTTCCAGGATAAAACAATGCCATTCACTGGCTTTTGCAGCCTTAGGAAACTCAGAAGCTTTAACAAAATGGTTTTCTTTTGGGACCTGAAATGAAGACAGTTGTGACAGATGAATTTCTGCTTCCCCTTCCTATCATACAGAATAGAAACATGAATCTTAATGGAGCAAGCACTAATGTCTGTGTGCCTCTAATAAAAGCAAAGCCACTGAAAGCATTGTTAAAGCCTTACAATAGCTTTGTAATTATACCCTTTGTAACACACAACTCGTGGGCTACTCGTGTTTTGCTGGAGGAGCCTGTAGAAAATTGTTAGAAGAATAATTACCAGATTGCCACATTCACAGAAATCAGAACAGGGTGTTTGTACATAATGAGACAAGTGTGTATTTATTAAATTATACTTCCCTTAAACACAAGCAACACTTCGTCTGGTGTAAATGTGAAGTAAGTGGTGAATGTGGAAAATACCCATTTCTTTTGGCTTAAAAATCCAAGTTGGGAATACCACGTTTGGTCTGGCTAAAATACCAGGTGATTTTTCACTTTGTCCCTGTGTGAACACTTCTCCAAGAGACAACTTTGTCCTTTATGTAATTCCTAGTGTGTTGGTAACCTCTTGGCTTACCAAATCCTTTGTCTGTTGCCGATGTTCATGGAGTTCAGGACCACATGCATTAGTAAAGGTGGAGCAGTATTTATAGAACTACAGGACATTAAAAAAAGAATTCCAACACATTCAGGGAATTCTGAGGAACAGTGATGAAATAATAAACGCCCTTTGCAGCTGGAAATTAAAACCTAAAGTCTCCTTATTCCTTCCTTCCTATAAACCCAGCCACCAGGAGTTAAACCGAGCTGAATGCCTGTAAATTGGGCTATAATGGAAATCCACTATTATAGTTTCACAAAGCTCCAGCAGTCATTATATTTTCAGAAGGTCGCAGTGATTCCAGTAGCTCTTCTAACAGTCCCTTTGCTACTGAGGAGCACCAAACCTCATGGATGTACCCAGATTTTGTATACTCTATGTGCATAAACCGTATTTTGGTCATTTTGGAAGAGTGCTCACTAGCTGATTTGTAAAGATTTCTGCAAGCTTCCCTCCCTCACTGGTGTCCTTGCTGAACACTACAGGAATAAACACGGTGCAAGTACAGGCAGGGGTGACTTTTTACTGTTCGGTTTTAAATTCACAGGTCTATAAAAGCTGAGGTTGGAGCAGACCTCTAGAGGGCTGTAGCGCAAATCCCTGCTCAGAGTCAGCCCTTGCAGCATCACTCAGGGTCTTGTCCAGTTACTATGAAAACGTCCAAGCAAGGAGAAACGAACGTGAACATTTTGTCTCTCACGTATACTTGCTGTAGGCCTTTCAGTGCTCTCCAAAGTCCTGAGAGCACTGTCCCACCAAAACTGCTGCTGATTTAATCTGTAACTGAGTAGACCACTCACCAGGCATGCCTGAGGTTCTCATGCTTCCTTTTAGCCCATTGAGTAAACACCTTACTGAGCTTCTTTTGTCAGGTTTAAGGAACACTACACAAAACCCGTAGGGGTTTTTTATCCCAAAGCTTAATTAAAGCACCATGGACAGTTGGGTTACTCCAGAATAGAAAATGGACTAATTACAGCGTTGTCGCGGTTTAACCAGTTTTCCTTTTCCTCTTTGGAGGGAAACAGCTTTACCTGGAAATGGGCTGTCGTAGTCTTGTTTCCCCTTCCACGTTGATGTTAGAGAGCTCTCCGGTAACAAAACTGCTGGCAAACTTCTCCTTTGTAGTAGGGATCCTGCGGGATGCAATAAAATAATAACAGTCAAACATGAGTAACTTTCAATAAAAAAGCTGGCTAACTTTGGCCTGAAACCCCTAAACATGACAACAGCCACCAATGCACTGCAATACCCTGAGTTTCCTTCTCAGGTTCTGCTCTCCAAGCATGACGTTCTTGGGTAGTGATGCTGAGGCAGCCAACAAGACAGTTCAGTGTCACGGGTGCTTCATTGCACACAGGGACATAGAACTGGCACTGCTGACCATCCTTCTGACTCCAGTGGTGAAATGCCAGTGTCCATCAGCTGCCCCAAGAGAAAATCCCGCATGTACCCCTATGGCTGTAGGTGAATGAGGCCCCTTTCATAAAGATGAATTTTCATTAGATTTGGTATTTGTTCCTAATCCTGAAAAAAAATTCCTTCCTCCTCTGCCATTGCAGGAAGTGGTTTCAGATGAAAAACTCCAAGGAGGACAATTACTGGAGGAACCCAAACTTTTGCATTTCAAAGGGAATACCTTCAGTCTGCAGATATCCGTCCTCGATATCCCTCCGTTCCTTTGGAGGATTAAACCATTTACTGCATGTCAGGTACGTGTCCATTTTCTCTACTCACATTTGAAGTTCAGAGGGAGTCAGAATTTTGACATGACCCAAATAAGATGATGTTCCCTTCCGCTTTTGCAAGGAGTGGGTTTAATCTCTTGAGTGTGCAACAAGAAAGCATCGCCTTCAGATTTTGACAAACACAGATTTCATGTACAACAGAATGCTTTAAGTGTTTCTCACTTCACAAACATGCAAGCTTGTACTTCCTCTCATTTCAATCACCTCCGATGGAAGGCCTATGTTCTTGTTAAATTTATCACTCAGGATGGTTTTGATATCGTTGTCAGTCTAACTTCAAGATAACTATGAATATATGGCTGAAAGGAACATTCAAATTGAACAGTTAAATGTGAGTTCAAAGAGCGGCACATGTATGCTAAGAATTAAAACTGAGAGCATATTTTTTCTGTACTGCATCAATGAAAGAGGCTGTTGAAAACAGGAAACGAAAAATCAAAACAAAATAACAATTTCTAAGTAGATGGTTCCTGAAAATGACAAGTGATGTGCTGGCACATAAAGTGGGTTAGTCTGTTAAAACACAGAACTCCGTTAGACTCATCTCCCTTTTCCCAGCAGCACAGAGACAGACAGCTCTATATCATCCACTGTCTTGGCAAAAAAGTGGTTTTAAATGTGCTACCATGTTCTCCAGAACGGCTCTAGGACAGGCAGAGGATGCCCAGATGACTGTGCTCAGTGCAGGGCCTGTTCTCTCAGCAGCCACTGAGGGTTGAAAGCAGCATGTGCAAAACCTCTGCTCACACACAGGCTGACTCAGATACTGGAGCCAGGTATTTACATGTGATAACTGAGTAGAGTTCAGGTGACTGGGGAGAGATGAGAAATAGAATGGTTGTTTCTAACAGAAACTACAGAACTGCTTACACTGGTTTGTATTTCCCTCCCTGTGCAGTGGCCCATTTCTTTTGACAGCTCTGATTTGGTTCCAGCCTTTTGATATATAGAAGAATCTCTTTTCTCCATGTGGAGTTTCTTCCCGTGTATGCTTGTTTTCTCTCCTACATACCACACTTCTTTTTAAAGCTTGATGTAGGAGCTGGCTGTTCTGGTTGTCAAGAACAGCTGAAAAGAGCCTGTTCCATAACTGTCTATTGGATCCCCCAAATGAAACGGTGATCAGATGGTACAGTGAGGGAAGATGTGTGTTAATGATTTCTCAGATAAGTAAAGATCCTGCTGCAGGGCTTGAGCAGATGAATAAAACTGGTAAAAGCAGTTAATGGCAGGTGGGAGTCAGGATTTCTCCAGCCTATACTAAGTGCCTTTGTTTGTCCTGGCCATCCTGTTGGAGCAGATGCCAAGTGCCTGGCATCCTGCCTGACACCCTTCCCACCCTGCTCACAACTAACTAGGGGAAACCCTTAAAACCTGGCTCAGTGTTAGAGAGGAAGAGGCTGTGATAAGCATGTGAAGAAGCCAAAGGGGCACCTTTGGGGGCTGGCAGCAGCTGTCCTCCTGGTGGTTTGTGTCTCTTGGAGGATCCAGCATCTCTCTGTAGCTATGAGATGATTTACGTGCCCTCTCTCTGCTAGGAACATCATTGTAAAGGGAGATTAAAACTGAAAGCATTTCTGGAATACCTGAAACATTCCTCATCCCACCCTGCTTTGCCCGCCCTGTGTTGTATTTCCTGTGGTTCTCAGCTGAGTGACTTTCCACTCTGAATGAAAGCAGAGATGATTACTCTGGAAAAATCTAATTACAGTTACTCCACTTCTAATATTTTGCTAATGTTTTTTTTTATCACTGTTGGTATCTTGCTGCTGCTGCCAGCTCAGGATCTAACCACAGAGCTTATCACTGTCGCTTAGCACATCATTACAGATAGCCTGAGACACACAGAAGAAGCAGTAAACTGCAGATCAGCTACCAGTACAGCTCTATCCTCCCTTGTTTAATCTTGTCTCTGAAGTGGAGGGTGAGGCTGGTCTGTGGAGCTGTGTTATCCCCACATCACCGGTGCACAGCTCATGTCTTCAGGGACACAAAGACTGCAACCTAAGTCAAGAAAAAACTGCTTATAGGAAAGCAAGGATGGTGAGCTTCCACATGGAAACTGATCATAAGGACTGTGTGCATGGTTTACTTGATTTAACCAGCTGAGTGTGACAAGCGACTAGTTGGTCTCTCAGTTGTAACTATCAATGTTGAATACTGAAGGGATGTGAAACTCTTTAAACTAGCTTTCTCGTGTTACAGTTGTTGCTCACTGAAGCTGTTTGATGCTGTCCTGTAATCATATGGATGAATGCTAAAAAACAGTAGAATGAAATACTAGTAGTGGTCTTTTTCTCCCTTTTTCCATCAGTCTCCAGGTTGCCACTTCTGCAGGATTTTTCAGTATTTTGGAATTAATAGAGATGTTTGATTTAACTGTTTTTGCTACTTATATGCCTTCATGACTACGTGTAGAAAACCAAAGTGGGTTTATAGCTGGTGTTAGTTTGGAAATTAAGTGTTTTGAAAGCATAAAGAGAGGAGACCAGAAAGAGAACTTTGGTATTTACAAAGTGGTCATAACCTAGAAGTTAGCTGCCCCTATGTACTTCTCCTATTTCCATACATTTTTAGGAACCCAAAGCAACCAGAGATGCCAGAAATCTCTGATGATTAATTGCTGCAGTTCTGTCTAGCATTTGATGAGGGCATCCATCCCATAAGGTGTCCTTGGCTGAAGTAGAGGAGTCACTGAAAGTAGTCACAGAATAAAACAGGATGATACTAAGAAGTAAACCAGACTGAGCACTGGTGTGCACTGGGCTGCATGTGGCTACCCAGGCAAGTGGGTGTGTTTAAACACAGATGGAACATAAATACAGAAGACATCCTATCCTGCTCCGTGCTGCATGAGTTATAGAGGAGGTACAGTTCTTGATGGGAAGATACTGTATTTGGATTCTGTAGTACAGGGTGATGGCAAGGAGACACAGATCAGAGTAAGAAAGAGTTCTGATCCCTGCCCAGGAGTAAGCGCATCTTAAGTTTCACTTTAAATGAGAGTATCTCATCATCTGTGTCACTGAATGGAATATCAGCTCTGAGTAAATGTAACCCCCCAGTATTTATCAGCTGAATCACCATTTGATAGCTTTGTCCTGCTCTGAGCTTGCAGCGTGCCAGTAAACACGCAACTGCACAGAAAAGAAGGGTTTTGTTCCTGTGTTGTGATGGTCTCCCCTTATCTCTCCCACCCCCGTTCCCATGGGATACGTCTCCCTCAGGAGGTGCCGTTCTCCCGTGTGTGGTGCAGCAGCCCCAAGCCTCTGCACTGCGCCTTCTCCCTGGAGCGCTACAGCCCCGCCACCACGCAGCTGGCCTGCAAGGTCTGCGTGCGGCAAGTCAAGGGCCACGAGCAGGTCCTGCAGATCCAGACCTCCATTCTAGAGGTAAAGCATCCTCTCTCCTGTTTGCCTTGCGAGACCCCATCCCTCCCCATTTTGTCCTTTCTATCCCTGTGTGCTTTATCTCCCGTTCAAAACTATTCCCATGTATATAAAGCCATACAGCTTCTTCCATTAGAAATCAAAGCACTAGAGATTCTGCAATTCTGCTACTACTGCTACTCTACACTAGAGATTCTACAATTCTAAAAGTAATTTATATTCAAATTGGCGACAACAGTTTTCTTGCAAAAGGTTTTGAAGAGTTTGCAGAGCACCCAGAGGTGACAATGATGGGTTGTGTGCTGTGTGGCCACTTCCTGTTCCCCTGTTACAGCGTGCTGGGTACAGCCTGTCTGGACTGCAGCTTTGCTCACAGGGGAAAGGTACCAGACTCAAACAAGCTGGGGACGTGGCCTACAGCAAAGAAAACTTTAGCTCCTTCTTTTAAATTATTGAGCCTTTTTGTTGATTAATCCAAACTAAAACTTCCGGATTAAAGGTGCGTGCCCATTGCCAAATGCACTATGCAGAGAATGCAGCAACTAAGGAAGAAACCCTCAACCACCTTTTTCTGTATGAGACCATCCTCAGAATACAGCCACGTTCATTACTGTTACTTCATAAAATACTTCCATCATTCTATAGCTATCTCAGTACAATGTTGCTGTTGCCATTACTTTTTCCTCCCTGTCTGTCCTTAAGTCTCCGGAGCTACAGCTCTGCTCTCACAGAGATCTGCTGGATGGAGGCTTTCTCGTGCCCATCTCAAAAAGTGCTCGAGGAGTGAGGAGAATTTGACTGTAGAATAAATAGAGAAATAACAACTGAATACTTGAATTACTCCTTGCTTTACAATTCCCTGAACTAACCAGGTAGCCGTAGCTTATCTCATATGTGCAGGGTATGAAAATTTACTACTGTTCTGCATAGTTAATTTAAACCAGTCAGACCATGGGATAGATCTACAGCACTATTACTCTGCATGGATGGCTTTGGGGA